TGGTTTCTGAGGCTGGGAAGTCCAAGAGTATGATATTGGCATCTGCTTGGCACTTTCCTCATCTCTCGGACAAACTACCCGAGACCCTCAATTTAAAGGAGGAGAGATTAGAAATTTTAGCCTTTGAATGGTCAACAGGATGGTGGAAGGGGCCTGGGTGAGGGAGGAGCGGGGGAGGGAGATAAACTCTTCCAGGGCAGGGCCGCTGGGGTCCACCTCTTCTGACCAGACCCCACCTCCTAACAGCAAGTCAACTGTGGACCCCATACGCAATCACCTTCCAAATGCCTTGCCTACGAGCACAGGAGGACCTTCTGGGCATCTAGATAGAAACCTTAACGCCTCATTGCCGCATCACAGTATGGAGGAAGGCAGCATACGGAGAGACAAAGCAAGCTAGCTAGAGGGAGCTCCTTTCAGTAACAAAGTCATTCCTTCTATAATTCATTAACCTAGGAGTGGTTAATGCACTCATGACTCAGTCACCCCTTACCTCTCAACATTACCACCAGCAATCAAATTTCAACTCGCTCTGGAGGGAAGAAACCATAGCAAACTTTTTTTTATCAGTATGTTTGCAGTACATAATGACTACAATTCATCATGGGGAGTTGATACCTGTATATAACACAGTTGAATTCTTTTTAGGTCCCTGGCCCCTCCCTCTCATTCCCCTCTAGCTGTAGATCCCCTTCCCATTTGCAGAAAATCCATCTCCCTGTTTCCTATTATTCATCCTTTATTTAACCACAGCCAAACTTAAATGTCCATGAGTAGGTGAGTGGATGAATTGTGGTCTCTTTGTACAGTTTAACATTGTTCAACAGTTAAAAGGAACTATAACTGAAACTATCGACATGGGTAGATTTTGAAAACACATTTGATTTTTTTAAAAAGCAAGTTCTGGACAAATAAGGTCAATGTGACACCATTTATGTAAATTAAAAGCCCTCCAAGTATTGCTAGGTGTAATTTCTGAGCAAGCGTAAAAGAACATCCACCAATTTCAGGATAGTTGCTGCAAAGCTGGAGGGAGGAGAAGGTATACAAAGAGGACTTGAATGTGTCTGAAAGGTTTTATTTCTTTAAAAATAATCAGACATAAATGCAGCAAAATGTTAGCATTTCTTTTGGTGAGTAAAAGGCTTTTTATTTTCCTTGTATTCTGCTGTATGTTTGAAGTGTTTCAAAACTGAAAAAAGGAAAGAAAATTCCACTGGTATTTTGCACACATTTACAAGAATAGTAATGGGTAAAGTACTATGATTTCCCGTTTTAATTCCTTCCCTGAAAGAAATTTTTAAGAGTTTCCTTCCTTGTATGTCCCACAAAATGCCCAAAATGTGTTCCTCTTTGTTGCAGAAATATGTACCCACAGGGACATTTTCCAGCCAACTATCCATTGCCATTCTGATCTCATGACTCAGAGAAATTGAAACCACCGCCATCATCCAGATACACAGAAAAAGGAGAACACATGAAGGAGGCTGACCCAGCCTACTGGGCAGCTGGCGGGGGCCTCGGCTCCATCCAGGGAGACTGCCTGCCCAGAGGGAAGCCCCAGGGTCTGGTTTACTTTCCTCTTCTTTCTTCACCTTTCCCAAGTTTCCTTGCAAAATCCTTCTTGACCACCCAACACCTCCCTTTTCTATTACCAACCCCTAGATTCCTTCCTTTCTCCACTGATTCCACCGAGCTGCCCCAGGGAGCAGTGCTTTTCATGCTGCAGTGTGCCTCAGAATCGTTTGGAAAGCAAATAAAAGCACAGGCTGCTGGGCCCCCTCTTCAGAGTTTCTGACTAAGTAGTTCTGGATGGGGCTCAGTGGTGCACTGGAAATGGGCAAACGACAGGCTCTCTGAAAAGAAAAATAAGCATGGATCCAAAGTGTCTGGCACTGTCCACAGGGTGAAGCCCTGGCCATTTTCCAGCCCCCAGTGTGACTGTCACTGAGTGTGGAGTTAGGGAGGAGATGTGCACAATTGGACCTACCAAGACAGTGCCTGCCCTCTCCAGCCTACCCTTGGCCCTAAGACCTGAGGATCTAAGGGGCTTCTGACTGTAGATCTCAAAATGATTCATACAAGAGCCACTGTTCTAGAAGCCTGAGGACAGAAGTGCGGTGTTTGGGAAGCTGCGGCCTTGTCAGTCCCGTCTCAAAAGGAATCCAGAAGGAGACTTCAGGGTCTTGAAGCAAAGGAGGCTCATATCATGGGGTCCAGCACAGGGTACCTTGCAGATAAAACAAGCCTGACTGCATCCAAGATGGTACGTGGGCTAGAGGTCCCGTTCCCTGTCCTGAGTGTTCCCTGACCACAGCTCTCTAAGGAGCACACCTGGCAGGATGGGCACACTTACCCCCAGGGGCTCTTGAAGGGAAGAAACACATCTGAGGTTGTTCCTGGATGCACAAAGTATAGACACTGGGGAACAAAAGGAGGGAAGGGAAGGAGAGGAGGAAGAACGGTCAGTGCCCCGGATTAGGCAAAAATGAAAGCGCCGAATGGCAGCCACCCTTCCCCTCCAACGACGTGCTGACTCATCTGGGAAGCCTTAGAGTTTCACGTCCCTGTCCCTTCCCCCAGGCCCAGCCCGGACCAGGCCTCCTCGGGAGGAACAAAGCCATACAGGCTCTGATCCTCTCACAGATAGCAGGATGGAAACAGACGTAGAGCGGTACCGTCCAGGTGCAGGATCGTGTGTCATCGGGGCCACGCGGCACAATAGCTCCAGGTGTATCTGACATTTCTTCCCCTGGGCTCGGGGAATCCCACTGCTGGTGACCTCTCGGTGTCCTTCCCCCCAGAATGTGCTCAGCCTGCCTCCTTTCCTGGCTGCCAGGCTCAGAAGCCCCTCCCAGGCCCTAGGCAGTGTCCATCCTCAAGCACAGCTCTGGGGACACAGTCTTCCTCGCTTGTTTCCAGTGGGAGGTGGTAGCTGAGAGAAGGAAACCAGCACATTCCTCTTGTTTACAGATGCAGCAACCCCAGCTCAGCCCCCTAGCGAGGCTTCCCATTTCCCCTTACCACTCCCTTCTTTTTCTGGGCGTCCCTTCACCAGTTCTGCGCCACCTCCTCATATCCTTCCTCCCTGTCCAAGGCCCAGCTGACCCACAGGTCAGGACCCACCTCTTCCCTGCCCTCTTCCTCCACTCCCACATCAGGGCGTGGGGAGAGCTGCTGGGAGACAGCGCCCTCTGCCTTCTTCAAGCCTTTCCTGCCTAGGTGAGCCGTGCCGCGGCTCCCTCCCAAGTATCCTGGCTCAGTCAGGGCACACGTGGGTTCCCTGAATACCTCTTATCTGTCTGGGTGGGAGAGGTAGGGGGCAGGTCCCATTGCTGCTTTCAATCAACAATGCCACACACACACACACACACACACACACACTCACACACAGAAAGGCACAGCCATGCACACAGGTGGTTAAGATGATCCCACCTCGAAATGATACCCTCTAGACCAGATTTGAGGGCCTCCTTCACATGAGAGGGGGCATTCATTGTACCAGCATCATCTCTTGGACAAGCATTACTATCTCTGATTTACAGATGAAGACATTGAAGCACAGAGAGGGTTTAGGACTTTCCTGAGGTCACTCAGCTAGTACAGGAGGACAAGATATCTGATGCCTGATCTGATTGACCCTGAGATCCAGGTTACTTCCATGAGCACTGGAACCAGGAGACTTTTCTGAATGACATCCTCTTGAAGGAACAGGCCCCCGAGGGTGGCAGAGTTGCAACTTGAGTTGCTCAAGTGAAGGTCTAAGGACAGTAAAATTCCCTGGGCATGGACCCTTACCCACCTTGAGAGGGGTGACTGGATCCGGGAAAGCAGCAGACTTTAGACACCCTTACTGAGGGTCATGGCCCCTCCAGAAATCTCCTCCTGCACATCTTCCCTCTTCCTCCATCCCCTCTCAGCCTCTGTGCCCCTCCGAACTGCTCTGCACAGACCCTCGGATTCCGCGGGGAAAGATTCTTGGATTCCAGACCAGTCCCCAAGTCAAGCAACATGAGACATGGTGCCTGTGATGGAGGCGTGAGCGCACTCCCCCTTATGACCACACGATGCCACCCTTGAGCTGCACACACTCTCCCTAACTGCACGCTGTGGGCAGGTGGCGGACAAGATCGGCTTTGCAGAGGTGTGGGAAGAAACTCCAGAGGTCCCAGGCATGAGTTGGCCCCACAGCACTGCTTGTTGCTGTCCTGCCTGCTCCCACGACTGTCTGCCTGTTTCCAGGCAGGGGCTATTTGCCTCACATTCCTGTAGCCGTTGCTTCTGACCCTCATGTCCAGCACTCCACAGACCCACTCAGGGTCCCTCGGCACCCTGCCTCAGCGTGGGGCTACAGACCAGCTCTCAAGTTGCCTTAGGATCATCTGTAGCAGCTTCTGCATGGGGAAGGAAATTTCCAGGTGCCTATCTCTGAGATTTGTGGCTCTGTAACAAGCAAATGTCCTGGGGCAGGCCTGACACTGTGGGATCCTAGCTCTCTAAGCTAGAGGAAGAAAGATACTCAGGGCCTCTCTCAGTGGTGGGAAGTTAGACAGATGCTTTGAGCCCTCCCTGATCTGCTGTGGCCTCATCGCAGCTACAGAAATGACCACCCAGCCTCCCTGCGTTGTTAGGAGGGACCCACAGCCACGTGCGATCGTCATAACCTGTCTTCTGTCCCCTTTAGAAAATAAAGGACTTCACTGACCTTATTCCAAACCTGTCCTTATTATATAGGTCATTTACTCTCTTTTATCCGAACATGGTTCTCTTCTTTAGGGACGTTCCCTTGGGCCCTAACCCAAACCCTTGCCTATGGCCCCTGCCCTCTCTGTCTGCCAGTCTTCCCCAAGAATGGTGACGCAGACCTTCCCCTAGGGTTGCCCTCCCCACCTCTTCTCCAATGCACACAATCCTCCCTCCTCCCTCCTCCCTCTACAGGTCTCTAATATCCAAAGTTAGTAATTACATAGACTCTGCTTAACTTCAGCAATCAAAGGCTTTATTTGAAGGACTCGGGAATGAAGGGAGCAGTCAAAGACTGAGGCCAGAGAGGAGCAGACGCAAATCCTTTCAATGATCCAGACGGCAGACGCTCCTAATCTTCTCATTGAGCAGCTGCTACATTCAACTGGTATCAATCAATTTGTCGACAGCAAGAGGTCTTGAGCCCCTGCAAGGGATTCCATTTCCAGGTCTCTCTTGGGTCTCGTGTACACCTGTGGGCAGGGAGAGTGGCGTGTTTTGAGTGGTAGTCCTAGCAGGAGTGCCCACAGTGTGGGAAGGGTCATTCCCCCGCATGAGCTCAGAGGTCGGCCATGTGCAGGCAGAAGAAAGGTCGAACGTGGGAGAGAACCAATGTCTACCTGGGTCTTCCCGGCCTTTCATGAACCCACCGCTTTGTCCTTGTCTTGTGGAGTCCCTCACTAGACATGGCCCACTGGGGATGATCGGGGGTGGCATAACTCTGAAGCGGACAGAACCTCAGCCGTTGACCTAAGGTTACCCAGTAACTCGAAGAGACAGCCAATTCCGCTCCTGCCTGCGTTGTTGTGTAACTTACCTTAAGCATTCAGGAGTCTCTGCCTGTGGACCTGGCCTCCCGTAGATACTTTTTGGGGTAAGGGCTTCCTGACTACTGTTGTGAGAAACAGCAAGCCCAGACCGCAAAAAGATCCAAAGGAGACAGCACCTCTGCTGCAGAGGAGGGAGGGTGTGGCCCCTCCAGGGCTGGCCTTGCACCTGCAGATGGGTTAGGGTAGGACAGCCAGGGCCGGAGAGAGAAAGCCACAAGTAGGGAGAGATGCAGGCCCCAGAAGGCAGTTAGAGCAGTGATCCCAGCCCTAATCCTGTCTACCTGCCTCACATCAGCCCCATCTCACCTGGCCAGTTATTAAAAGCAGAGCTGCAGTGCTCCAGCGCAGGGGCCATTTGACCCGTTTTCCTTCTGGTCCGTGTCTCCCTGATTTCACTTCTGCCTTGGGGGAGTTTGTAGCCTCCTGCAAGTGGGGTTCAGTCTGCTAGTGGGGCTTATTGTCTTTGGAGCCCACCCAGTTTTAAACAGACTCTCTCAGAGTCTCAAAAGTCTGAGAAACCCAAGAAGAAGATGCTGTCACTGGATGTGACACTGAGCACGGATACCTTTGAGCTTCAGGCGTGGCTCTGGTCTCTTCAAGTGGACATCACTGTCAGATGGAGGCCAACCTGATCCAACCCCTCCTGCTACCTCAAAAGGCTCTTCCACAAAGGAGGCAGCCACACTCCCATGTCGCACAGTAGCCTGATGCTCCCAGAATGTAAGAGGACAGGAAAGCTCGCTAGAAGTCCCCAAGCCAGCCTGCTGGAGTCTTACCTGCCTTACCTGGAGGGCCCAGAGGCTACCACTGTAGAAAGTAGAAGAGGTTCCAGTAGGGTTGACCCAAGGTTGTGCGGCCCAGCTGGTCTCAGCCTCCAGTGCACTGCAGTGCTCAGGGTGGGTCAGTGGATCTCTTGCTTTTCTTGAAGGGGTTGAGGAGGCAACTGATACCTGCTGGAGAGGGTGGCGGGGTCCTGCTCCAGACTCCTAACATGGCACTGCCCAGCTTGTTAGCACGGACTTTCCTAGCAGGGGGCAGCCACAGGGCAGGCTTTACAGGAGCACCTGGGGCCACAGGAGGCCATGAGGCTTGAGCGGCACCCACGCTGCCTCCCTTTGGCGGGCTTTGCTGGCTCTCTCAGAGGAAGAGGAGGGAATACTTCCCTGCCCAGGAAGTGGAACCCCTTTCCCAGATGTTCATCTTGGGCCAGGCCCCAAACTGGAGACAGCTTGGGGCAGCAGGCACCTGGTTCAGGGCATGAGTGTGCGGCCTGTCACGGGGTGGACTGTTGCTGCCACCTCACGCTGGGAGCTCTGGCTGCTTCCAAGTTCTGCCTGGCCCCACCCCCACCCGCATGGTCTCAGTGAAATCTCGGAGCTCCATTCCTTGGCTCCCTTGGTCCCTGCCCCCACATGGGAGGGAGGACCACATGGGTCGGGGACAGGAGAGCACCTCCTCCTGGTGGGTTTTCACTGAGTCACACAGATCTTGGAGCCTAGGCCTCCCTCTCCTGCACAGCCTCTCCCCCCGGGGCTCTTTCTTTGGCCTCACTGTGGCCCTCTCTTCCCAGGCTCCTCCACCCGATTCAGCGTTTCCAGCACTGCCCTTTACCAAGTACTCGCTATAAGCTGCGTGGTACCGCAGGCTTTTCCCTGTGGGACTTCACTTGTTACATCAGGAAATGCAAATCCAGCTTTAGGGCAAAACCTTTCTCCGGAGCCATCCCCGACTTCCTCTCTCACTTCCACTCAAGCTCGTCAGCGAATATTGCTGTGTCCATCTTTGAGAAAGCTCCAGTCTGCCTCACCCCCTCTCTGCCAGCCTCTCAACCGATCATGCTGCTTTCACAATCACTGGCGCTGTCGGCGCTCCACGCCTCTCTAACCTCACTGCCGGCCACGCCTCTGCCTCAGGGCTTAGCACCTGCTGTCACCTTTGCCCCCTGACCTTGTCTCAGTTTGGCCCTGCTGCTCACGAGGCACCTTTTCAAATTGGAACCTCCTTAGAGAGGCTGTGGTGATCAGTTTTGTGTGTTAATTTGGCCGCTGCACAGGGTGCTGGCTATTTGGTCAAACATTATCGTGAGTATGTCTCTGAGGGTGTTTTTTAGCTGAGATGAACATCTGAATCAGGAAAAGGAATAAAACTGATTTCCCTCCCTAATTGGGGTGGGTCTCACCCAATTTGAAGGCCTGCATGGAGAAATAGGCTGAGTTAGAAAGAGTTCTCTCTGCCTGTCTTCAAACTGGGATTTTTTTCCCCTTGGCTTTTTGACTTGAACCAAATCTTGGCTCTCCCTGGTCTCAAGCCTGTTGGTCTGGGTCTGGACCATCCATCAGCTCCCCTGGCCCTCCAGTTTGCTGACTGTGGATCTGGGAACTGGTCAGTCTCCAAACTCACATAGTCAACTCCTAATAGTAAATATTTTTAGACACACACGTGCGCATCCTCTGTGCCCTCACTCACTGTGTGCAAGTTCATGAAACTTAAAACAGCCAGACTTTATATTTTAGAATTTGTTGCCAAGAGGCAAGACTGGGTTTGTTTCATTGGTTACTCTATTTGCTGTGCCTGGAAATGCGCCTGGCATACAGTAGGTGCTTAATAAGTGAGCACACAAATGAAATGAAGTCGTAGGGAGAGAACAATTGGCAACTGTAGAGAGAGCTCGGATGTATGGAGCACTAAACATCAGCCTGACTTTTCACAGGCCCTTCCTTTGAAATCGCACTCACCCCCGGCCAAGTTGGACATCGCACTCCCCCCCCCCCAAGTCCCCCTGTTCTCTTTTGAGTACACACACGCACACACACACACACACACACACACACACACACACACACACTGGCATGGAGTCATAGCCTACATTCTCATGGCTGCATTAATGGAACAGTGTCAAGTGTGTGTGTCCTTCTGCTGCTAGACACCTACACTCAGTGGAAACTAAACTCATAATAACCCTTCCTCCCAAACCAATGACCTCCAGAGTTTCTGGCCAACCTGCTGCCCCAGATTGGCAGTCATGATGGGAGAAAGTCACGGGCTGTTAGAGAATGATGAGACAGACACAGGAAAGTGTCGTTTCTCTCCGCCCTGTCCTGTCTCCAAACTGCCTCCCACTCTAGCAAGGAAGCTGCCATTTGCAGAGGTGAAGGGGACACTGAGTCTGAACCCTCTTCCTGCAGAGGTGACAATGGCCAGCAGCAGAGGCTGTTCTCATAGCTCACAAGTCTTCACTGAATGGAACTGGGAGCAGAAGCTGACTCAGGGGAGGTCATGGGGAAAAGGACCCTGGAGAAGAAAGTCTCCTCCAAGGATGAGGGGAGGGAGGGGGCTGAGACAGAAGAGAGAAGACAGCGACAGGACCCACTAGCTCACACTGTGCCTCTGTGCAAATGACAGAAAGCGGACCCTCTTCCCACATGTTGAGGCTGGCTAGGGCCCACAGGGAGGCTGCTCAAGGATGGGGGACACACAATGGGCCCTGGACCCCAAGGTCAAACCTGACCACATAGGTGTGTTCCTCAGTCACCTGTGACTTCCTCCCTCTGCACCCCTCTTCTGGAGCAGTGCCCAGGATCCACCTCCAAAGGCCACTCACATTCCCACTTCCCGCCATCTAAATCCCGAGGGTCCGTGCGGTTGTCATGGTGGCTCCTTACTCCTCTGGGAATAAACCAAGCGCTTTTCTGAGATTCTCACCTTCCCAACATCTCCCCTGTGACTTGACAAGCATCAAACATGAAATGGTGCCTGAAAAGAGGTCCTCCGTGTCCCCTCCTGCTCCAGCTTCTATCACACACGCCATTGCACCAGGTCTGGCAAATAGTTTCTTCTGACCACTCCTCTGCTGATGGGAAGGGATGAGAGATCCCATCCAGCATCCCTGACCTGGTGGATGCAGCAGAGGAGGTTGGGTCTCAGATTTCTTTTCTTTTCTTTTCTTTCTTTCTTTTTTTTTTTTTGGTACCAGAGATCCTTGCAGGTGCTGGAACCACTGAGCTAAATCCCTGGCCCTCAGATTTCTGCTCAAGCATCTGCCCAACCCTGTTCTCCCCACTCTTCTACCTGACACCTATTCTACAACACCGACCCAACAGACGGGACATTGCCCTTCCTGCAAGCCCAGCTCCAGCCTCCCTGTTAGTCTCCCACCCCTCCCCTGGAACATCCTTCCTTTCCCCTCTCAGAACATCTTCATCATCAACCTCCGCGTCCAAATCCCTCCCTGCCCTACTTCACCAATCCCACTGTTCCATGAGGCTTCGCTTGGATACCTTAATCCCTTTCTCTGAGCAGGGACCTTCCCGGGCTCACTGAGCCTGCACCTGCTACGCCTGTGCTGGGGGCCAGGATGCAAAGATGAGCCCATTACAGACCCTGCCTTCTAGCAGCTCTCACGCCCTTGCATTTCTTCCGGGAATCAGATGAAACATCCTGTAATCAGCCCCTTTGCCCCTCCAGGAGCCAGGTCTCCCCCCAGGCCACCTCTACACCAGTGTAAATGATGATGCATTCAGGCAAGTGGTGCAGAGAGATGCCAGATGGATGCAGAGGAGGCTCACAGGAAGGGGCCATCTCCACATTGGCTGGGGTCAGGTGGAGGAGACTGGGAGGCTCTGTCAGGGCAGTTGCGTGTGTGGGGTGGAGGCAGGGGTGTGAAGGTGGGTGAGGGTGTGGAAGAAGCAAAGGCTCAAAGTGGAAGCATCCTCGAGGGGGGCGATTCGTAGGTGTGAGAAAAAGGTGGGTGAGAATCTTCAGACAAAATTTGGTCTTCAGGCCAGGCCGAAGAGTTTGTTGTCCCTCCAGCAGGCAATCGGCAGTCTCTGAAGGTTTCTGATCAGGAAAAAATTGTGAAATTGGCTGGAAGCAGGAGTGGCTGCTGGTAGGGGAGAAAATAAAAGCTTTACAATAATTCTGATGAGCGGTAACGGAGCGCTGGCTGACCCAGAAGGATGGAAAGAGGACAGAGATTTATGAGGATGCAATAGACAGGAACGGACGAGGTACGGAGAGGCAGGGAAGGGGTCTCCGCGATGAGGAGAGGGGGCAGCTACAGAGGGAAGTGAGCTGGCTGCGTCGCATAGAAATGCAGCCAATTTAATAAACACGTTGAAGGCCCAGGATATATAGGGTGGCCTTTAGCTCTCAAGGTGTAGGACTTGATAATGACGGTGATATGTGAAGAACAGGAGACAGAAATAGAAGCTGAAGCAGGAAGGAAGACCTGCACGTTTGGGACTGCGCTGTGCCATGGACAGGGGCACCAGGTTGCCGCACGCGCTAGAAGATCACAGTCAGGTCCCAGGGTCCGCGGAGTAACCCACTCCGGACCAGGCGTGGCCTCCTGAGGCTGCCCGGAAGCCATCCCAGCTCCTAGCCAGGAACTCAGCTCACCTTCTGGCCCGGCAGCCCCGGGAGAGAAGAGGTGGACGCCTGGCACCGTCGAGCCCCTGCGTTCCAATCCCAGCTCTACCCACTGACTGGGTGACCTTGGGCGGCTCCCGACAGCTTTTCTCAAAGCTCAACACTAACGCCACTAACTGTAAACCAAGAACATTTCAGACAAGGACAGCGTGCCCCATCCCATGGAAGGGAGCCTCCAGCATCCTGGCTGCTCCTCCCTGAACCTTGAGGCCAAAGTGCAGCACCTCCACTTCCTCACGCCCTATTTCTAATACATCTCAAGGTCAAACTTCTAAAGGACCTTGAATGTACCCGCTTGTCTCCTGCCGCCCCCCTACTCTGCCCTGTAGAAAACTAAGTGCCCTGCTGACCTTGGCCACAGTGGCATCCTTACTCGCTCACTCCACACCCACCCTTGCCCCTCCAATCCCCAAAGCTTTTTAAAAAATGCAAATATGCTTCTGTTCCTTCACTGCCTAAAAAGTATGTAAGTGATTTCTTGCCCCTCTTAAAATTAAATCGAGTGTGATCACCTGCCTTCTCCCCA